TCATATATATATATGAGATTATTAAATCTCATAAATACGTAGATATAAAGCTCGCTTCTACATAACAATATAAATAGTTTCATTCAATTATAGGAGCATTGCTCATTAATGTTTTTAGTACAAGCACAATCATTTTCTGGCCACTTCGAATAATGTGATCGAATAAGGCGGGAATTTATGTTCAATTGCATTGTTAACCACAATGCCAATGCTTTCCACAATCTTAGTTAGATTGTATTGACTGTACGTATAGATCTTAGTATTGCCCGAAGAGGGGAAGTTTTTGATCTCGATCTTCGTGTCAATTTCATTGATCGGGTCTTTGTTGATGGCAATAACAGTCAACTTTTTGTCCGATGATCGTATCGACGCATAGATCGCAAGCTTTTGTTCGTCACTTGATTTTGCGCTAACACTGGTTGAACCGAACTGAGAGCCCTTTCCGTCGTAATTGCGGTACATTCTGTTTGGTATAGTGAAAATTTAGAATATTTAGCTTTTTAAGAAATTAATGCTCTTAAAGGGTATACTTTACCTGAAAGCATACGCCCATGGCTCGGTTGAATTTTCTGGTCCCCAGAGAATAGCCACGTCAACGCTCTCCCTTCCCAGAATGCCAAGTATATCTGCCTGTGCGAGGGCACCATTCATAACCTTCAAGCCGCCCCAATTGTACTCGGTGATGGCTATTTTGGTGCCTGGATAGTAAGTCTGGATGGCCTTCTTCATCCTGGGAATCAGTTGCACCCGGTTATTCGGTTCTCCCAGGTTCCTGACCCAGCTCTCGTCTATGTAATCTGGATTCCACAGGCCCTGAGTTGATCTAAATATATGTTGATGTAAGACATAATATACAAGGCATAAGACATAATATGTCCCAGTCATTCGTTTCTCCCGCCGCCTTTAGTATTTCGTCTGCCATATTACCTAGCCTATCACGCGTTTCGTTACATTTTAGCTTTTCTAACTCGAGACGTCTCCTACCTTCCCTCTTTTTGAGAATTTTCAATTTAAGATTGGTCTTCATAACTACTAAGTTATGATCGCTATCTATACCTGCTCCTGGATAATTCCTACAATCCTTCACTTGATTTTTAAATCTTTGCCTAACAAGTATATAATCTAACTGATATCACCCTAAATCACCTGGTATCTTCCACGGATAGCGCCTTCTAACGTGATGGTTGAATAAAGTATTCGCGAGTTAAGTTATGTTTATCGCAAAATTCTATCAGCCTGTCTCTCCTATCATTTCTATTGCCTAATCCAAATGAACCTGCTACTGCACCCACTTTACCTTCATCTATTACTGCGTTGAAATCTCCTAAAACTATTAAGTTTTCCTGTCCTTTCACTAAACTTAACACATCTTCTATATCTGCATAAAGTGTTTCTACGTCTTCATCACTCTAAAATGAGGTAGGAATGTAAACCTGCACTAATACCGTTTTTACTAGCTTCGAGTTTTATTTAACCATTACTATCCTATCGGTATTTTGTAAATAACTTTCTACACTCTACCCTACCTACCTATGAATTACCCTCCACCGATCCTGTAGGTATTACTCTAAAGTCTCCACTCCAGAAGTCTCCAGCTTCGGGCCAACGGACTTCACTAATACCTACAATATCTAATTCTAATCTACCCATTTCTCCTTGCATATTTTCCAATTTCTGTACTTGCCTCATTGTCCTAACATTCCGCGCTTCGAATCGTGAAATATTGCACCTAACCCTGTTGCATTTATTGATGGCATCCCCCAGGTAGTTTCCGCCCGGACATCCGAATGGGGGACTAGTTTACGTCCGGAGTGCTTTACCCCGGAGGACGCCATCATTTACTTTTTAACGTACATTTTACTCGGGATCATAATGTGGTGGTTTCCCGTTGCCTTCCACATCGCAGTATAATGCATCAGAGTACCATACCGATCCTCGTGATCTCTGCCACCCTGAGTACTAAAAGCGCTGCTGCCCTCTTTTAGGGACTTTTCTTAGTCTGTTTTTTCTTTAGGACCTCCCCCCCATTACGGTTGAACTTATGGTCCGGCTAAATCATCGAAACTCGCAAGCCGATCCACCCACTCTGGTTTGTACAAGAGTTTCGTCAAGGTTCAAGTCCCGTCGGCTCGGTAATATATTTTATCAAATTAATATGAATAAATATATGAATATATGAATTCATTTACTCCTTTTGCCTATTATATATATTTTATGATAATCGTTTTTAAGAAGTAAACTCCAGTCACGTGTCGGAGTTGACAATTAATAAATTTCAAAGTTTTTCAAGTTTCCCTACGTTATTAAATCCGATACTTAGAAGCAGTACAATTTTAAGACTTAAACTGACCTGAGCCTCACCGCCAGTACCTCCGTTTCTGTGTTGTCACTGAACACGTTGGCGGGTTGGGGGTACATATGGAAGTCGAGGTAATCGAGCAGTCGTTTCGAGTGTTTAGACTCCAACTGCTTCATAGCTTTCAGGTAATATGGGCCGAAATCCAGGTTATCGTGGCTCGACCTATCCTTGTTAGTTCCACTAGCAGAGTCCAGGGCTGAAAATACAAGTACTATGAAACCATGATGTTTCTTCAAAATCCCATATTTTGTGTATGTTTTTGCGCGCGCGAGCGCGCGCGTGTGTGTGTGTGTGTGTGTGTGTGTGTGTGTGTGTGTGTGTGTGTGTGTGTGTGTGTGTGTGTGTGTGTGTGTGTGTGTGTGTGTGTGTGTGTGTGTGTGTGTGTGTGTGTGTGTGTGTGTGTGTGTGTGTGTGTGTGTGTGTGTGTGTGTGTGTGTGTGTGTGTGTGTGTGTGTGTGTGTGTGTGTGTGTGTGTGTGTGTGTGTGTGTGTGTGTGTGTGTGTGTGTGTGTGTGTGTGTGTGTGTGTGTGTGTGTGTGTGTGTGTGTGTGTGTGTGTGTGTGTGTGTGTGTGTGTGTGTGTGTGTGTGTGTGTGTGTGTGTGTGTGTGTGTGTGTGTGTGTGTGTGTGTGTGTGTGTGTGTGTGTGTGTGTGTGTGTGTGTGTGTGTGTGTGTGTGTGTGTGTGTGTGTGTGTGTGTGTGTGTGTGTGTGTGTGTGTGTGTGTGTGTGTGTGTGTGTGTGTGTGTGTGTGTGTGTGTGTGTGTGTGTGTGTGTGTGTGTGTGTGTGTGTGTGTGTGTGTGTGTGTGTGTGTGTGTGTGTGTGTGTGTGTGTGTGTGTGTGTGTGTGTGTGTGTGTGTGTGTGTGTGTGTGTGTGTGTGTGTGTGTGTGTGTGTGTGTGTGTGTGTGTGTGTGTGTGTGTGTGTGTGTGTGTGTGTGTGTGTGTGTGTGTGTGTGTGTGTGTGTGTGTGTGTGTGTGTGTGTGTGTGTGTGTGTGTGTGTGTGTGTGTGTGTGTGTGTGTGTGTGTGTGTGTGTGTGTGTGTGTGTGTGTGTGTGTGTGTGTGTGTGTGTGTGTGTGTGTGTGTGTGTGTGTGTGTGTGTGTGTGTGTGTGTGTGTGTGTGTGTGTGTGTGTGTGTGTGTGTGTGTGTGTGTGTGTGTGTGTGTGTGTGTGTGTGTGTGATAATAAATAAATAAATAATTAAATAAATAAATAAGTCTATGTATGTTTTATTTTTTATTTTACATGACTTTTGTAGAATTCAATCATTTCGATTATTAGTTGTAATGTATTCATCAATATAATAATGTTCGTGGGTTTAGCAAAATTAACTTCTAACAGTGATAACGACAAAAACTATTTATTTACACTAATTATTAGAAACACTATTACATTATTACTAAGCTTAGGTAATGAATTATTCTATTTATTTACACTACTGTTGATATATCATTATTCACTGCGCTATTTATTTCACTGCTATCACTGTCAATTTATATCTGGATTCGCTTATGCACCGGTCAATTTATTTCTTGCTCTTCGGCTATCGTCTCTTCCTTTAAATAGTCTTTTGTTTACTTTTTTCAACCTTCTGGAAACATCAGAATAGTTTCTTTTTTTTTGAACTGTTTAACTGCTTTCCCAGAACGCAGGTACGAGACACACATTTACAAATACGGCGCACATGAAGAAAGGCGCCCGCGGCTAGTTGGCGAATCGATAAGCCGTTCACGCACACGTGTGCCTGATCGCACACAAACAAACTCGTGCTCGCTACAATGTTTTCGTTATCATTCGTGCAATGCTTGACATTTTTTATGATCAACTACTAGCTTGACATTATTTGCGGCGTTTATGATTTGTTGTAAGTTGAAAATCGTTTAGTGATCTGTTATTCTTTAGTGAAATTTATAAGTGTTACAATTCATATTCGATTTTATATAGATATGATCAATACACAATCCCTCACTCGTTACTTCATTACTTGTTCTTGTGACAAAGCACACCTTAGGCATGTAGATCCCCCTAGGAAATTATACAAGTACTCGTTTATAATTTTATTGGAACTTAATAGATCTAGATTAGTGACACACATTACATAATTATTTTTGAAGTGAAACTTCTTTAGCAAGGTAGGGTAAGTTCGTTTCATGCGAGTTGCTGTGTAACGAAATCATGCAACGGATGTCCCCCTCTACTCGGCTATGTAGTCGAGTTTGTCGTGGGGATCGCTTGAGCTGTGAGCGCGCTTCAGTGCAACGTTCCTTACAGGTAATTCCGGCATGTATAGTGTAAAATTTAAATTCATAGTGTACAAATAATACAATTAAACCAATTCCTTAACCCCTATCCTGGTATATTTGTGTGTTTGAAGAGGTTTCACTTCAGTAGCGTGTTGTACAATTACACGTTGTTTTTTTTTTAGTTTATTATAGTTGTTTATTAATTTGTAGAATACTGATTCTTCTATGTGTTCATCCTTTATTATTGCAAAAACCGGATAGTGGTCAGTTATATTCGGTTCAATTTTGCTGCTTAGGTACTATCAAAATGAGCTGTCAACTGAGAAGTGTAATCTACAAATACTAATTTGCAAAAAAAACGTTAAAAAGGACTTCCCCTGAATTTTTTCATGGAAGTCTTTCAAAATTAGGCCATTTTAAGTAATTTCGTTCAAAAAAAGTTACATTTGTTTTACCCTTACTACTTCTATGTATTTATATATATA